TACGAGGCGTGCACAATTCGGGGAGACGTAAGACCTGGGTACGGGGGACTCGGAAATCCCCGACGAGGTCGTCAAAAAAATGACGAGGCCGAGCCTGCATTTTGACGAGGCCTCCCGCTGCAGACACCCCACAAAACTCCTCCTCGTCAAAATCCGAGGCGCGGTCGTCAAAAAACGGTGGCGAACCCGAGTCCCGGCAAACCCGGGTCTTACGCTCCCCCGAACAGTGAAGGGGGGGGCCCGTGTGAGTCCCCAGGCTGGAAAGCCGACGACGCTCCACGAACATGTCCGAGAACGCCGCCGGTCTCTAGTGATCTCGTGACTCGGACACAGTACGGGGAGGGATCGGTTCGTGCCCAGGCCCTGCGAGGTGCCCCGTCTTCGTCTCATTATATGGGAAGGGAGCGAGGGCCGAGGAACGACCGAGGTGGAAGGGAAAGATGAAGGGAGGAGGTGGGAAAAAGGGGGGAACGGGGCAGAGCGAAGGAGAAGAAGGCAGAGGGCAGAGGGATGGGTCAAGTCGAGGGAAATACGAAGATGCGATGTGTGATGGAAAACACGTGATACTGCAATCCGTCATCGTGCCGCGAGGCACGTTCTTCCTATTGAATATACCCCAGATGCCTAGAATTCGGGAGAGCTCTTGGGGAGGCCTCTCGAATGAGGTCCCACGTAGAAGGGGTTGGACGATACCGCCGCATCCCCGATACATCACCGGCACATCGGCGACGCATCGGTGACGCATTGGCGACGTCGGCGTTGAGAACATCGAGCTCGCCGATGCATTGGCGCCGCGGCGCCGATGCATTGGCGATGCGGCACGATCCTCCGTCACCGTCTACTCGGACCCCGTCTGCGAGACCTAGACTGAAGCCGCCCAGAACACCAGATGGCTGGAATTCTGAGGAGCTTTTGAGCGCTGTTGGTCGTGGTCACGGGCAGTGTAAAAGTTGGCTGGAGTGCATTGTCATGGTGCAGCACTGAGGTTGTTCAGAGGGAAAAGAACTATGCACATGCACCGACTCTGGCCAGGCCCATCCTGAGCCCAGGATCGGTGCATACGCCCTCCCACCTTGGCCAGGAAGGCATATGCACCGATCCTGGGTCAAAAATGGGCCTTGCCAGGATCGGTGCATGTGCATGAGAAATCGGAACTCAAATCGGAATCCCAGATCGAATCGAATCGGAATCGGAAACCATCGAAATCGAATCGAATCGAATCGGAGGAATCGAAACGAGCCCTGTTGAGGCGCCGCATCGCCACCCATCTCGGGACGACCCTCGGGACGATGCAGCGGGTCGTTCGTTCGTTCGCCAGCTCATCCAGGAACGGTGCCCAAACAAGCTGCCTAGACCAGGGAAGCGTCGGACAGTGCAGAAGGGCAGAGAAAGAGGCAACAGTCAGACCGAAGTCTTCGAACAGCCCGAGCAAACCTACGAGTGAACAACACATGCCTTCGCGGCCCTGTCGCTTCGGGAGGAGGCGGAGAAAGATGAGATGGGAGGACGAACAGGAGGGCACGAAACCACGCGTCACGCGACAACGCGAGGTGTGAACGAAAAACATGCAGCGCACAGATTTCGGGCCATGGTGGCGCGGTGCGCGCATGGAGTGCGCTGCTGCATGTCCTTCCCAAGACCTGGCATGAAAAGAAGGCAGCCGAGAAGGGGGCTGGTTCGTAATTAGACTTAGAGGGCGGGTACAAGGACGATGGAAAACCAAACCAAGTCAATTCAACTTGTTCGATCACGTGTTCGCAAAGTAGTCTTCGTCGTTGTCGTCGCCGTCGCGGTAGCCGTCGCTGTTGCCGACGCCACCGCGGCCGTCGTCATCGTCGTCGTCGTCGCCGTCGTCGTCGTTATCGTCATTGCCGTAACCCGGAGAAGCAATTAAGGAACCCCCCGGCGTTATCATTAGCACCGCGCCGTAATTAAATAATTATTTGGGGGGGTTTTCGCCGAGCGATATTATTAGCACCGCGCAAATGGAAGGAAAATCAATAATTCCAGCGCCCCGCCTCGGGTGGCATCCCAATTAGAATTGTAATGGGACTCGTGCGATCTGGTGTACCCCCTCCTGGTGCCAGGATAACGCTTCCGGGTGCCGGATGCGTTATCCTTTCACCGGAGAGGGGGGGGGGGGGGTCCTTAATCGCTTACTCGGGTTATGGGCTGCCCGACCCGCTCTCTGAGATCCCGCCCGCCCGACGTGCCCGGTAAGACTACCCGCAAACCGCGACGCACCGCGGGCGAAGAGGAGAGCCCGAAATCGGGGCTTCGTAAAACGGGGGTTTAGCTAAACAAGGGCTCAGGCTTTTCCATATGCCCCCGTTTACTGTGTCCCCGCCTACGGCGCACAGGGCCCCCCAAAACAGAGGCATAGCCAAACGTGGAAATCGGCGTTCCCCGTGCCCCCGTCTCTGGCGCCCAGACTCGGGGAGACGTAAAACCCGGGTACGGGGGACTCGGAAATCCCCGACGAGGTCGTCAAAAAAATGACGAGGCCGAGCCTGCATTTTGACGAGGCCTCCCGCTGCAGACATCCCACGAAACTCCTCCTCGTCAAAATCCGAGGCGCGGTCGTCAAAAAACGATGGCGAACCCGAGTCCTGGCAAACCCGGGTCTTACGCTCCCCCGACAAACGTGGAAATCGGCGTTCCCCGTGCCCCCGTCTCTGGCGCCCAGACGAATACCGAGCGAAGACTCCTCCTCGTCAAAATCCGAGTCGCGGTCGTCAAAAAACGATGGCGAACCCGAGTCCCGGCAAACCCGGGTCTTACGTGCCCGAGTCCCGGCGAACCCGAGTCCCGGCAAACCCGAAGCGCGAAGTGCGAATAACTTCGCGCTCTCGCGCCACCTCCCAGGGGTGGAGGGTGAGGAGGAATCGGAGCCGAACCGCGAAGCGCGAAGCGCGAATAACTTCGCGCCCTCGAGGGCGCCCTTTGGCGCCCAGACGAATACCGAGCGAAGAACGCCTGGGCTGAACAAAAATGCGGCGCCCGGGTCGCTGGCCTGGGCTGGCGCTCGCGCTCGGGGCAGCTGCCAAGGGCACTCCACGTACGTATGCACAGCACCGCACTCCGAATGCACCCCAGCGGGGTACACCCTGCGAAATGCCTAAGAAATCATGGGTTAAGAAATTCACAGTCTCAGAATCTGAATTCAATCCAGAATTTCTATCAAAATCTTGGGATGTACACTGAAACGTTCAGAATAATCGAGACTCTGGCCGAAAACTTTGGTTTTCTTAAGCATCGCCTGGAGTGTAGCTATCCAATGTCCAATCACATTCAGAGGTATCTCCAGCGGCACTCGCGCCGATTAGCCAAACCGACTGGGAACTGCACCGGCACACTCGAATGCCAATCTCGAGATCTCGAGCGGACCAGTGCAGATTTCCTGAGCTGGGTGGGCGCTCTCTCCGGCGACGGCTCCGACCGAAGACCACACCCCGGCGTACCCACACCCTTCCGAGAACCCCGATGGTGGGCTTGTTTCCCAGCACCACCACAAGAAGTAGGAGGGGGAGGGGGTCCTCCTCCTCCTCCTCCTCTCCTTCTTCCTCCTCCTCCTCCTCTCCTTCTTCCTCATCCTCCACCTCCTTCCCCCTCCAACTTATGGTGGTGGTGGAAGACAGGCCCATCACCCGACGTCATGAACGTTATGATTTTTGCTCATAACGTCGACCCCAGACGCTTCGACCCAGTCCCCGGGACCCGATTCTTCATCCCGAGCCGCCCTCGGCGGCCCCGAGACCGGGCACGGGCCCCCAGAGGCCAGAAACTGCTCAAAAACCTTCCGCCGTGATTTCCTCACAAGAAATAAATACAAATCTCAGGATTCCCAATGTCGTCTCATGTGTTCAAACTTTTCATCTTCCTATCTTTCCTATCTTCTGCTGGGAGTCGACGATGAATTGCGTCTGTGGTTTTCCCCCTCCCGATTTCTCACGATGCGATGGGGTTCGGATGTCGGATCATACTTCTCGGGTCTCTGACGGCCGATCGGAACGACTCAGACACTCCCAGGACGCCCCTGGCGAGGCGCGGCTGCGTGTGCTTTGTTTCATGACTCGACGGGGGGTCTGGTTGTGAGGTCGCCGGCCATTGGCGGCGCGCACAAGGGGGTAGGGTGTGGGGGTCAAGCATCTTAAAGGAGGCTGCTTCTGAGAAGGCGCCAACCTTACATCTATAGATCAGCCCGGCGCATTCTGAGAAGCAGGGGTGCTTCGAAGAAGCATCCCCCCCTCCCCGACCCCCCTCTGCCAGACCTCTCCCAGGGTGCGCTCTGACACAATTCCGCAACGAATCCAGCGGTCAGAACTACTGGATTGGTAGGAGGGGGAGGCAACATGGGAAAGCGAGGTAGAGACCAAGGCCCTGTTCTTTGATGAGTTATTTCCAGCGGTGATGGTCAATATCATGTAGCTCTGGTGCGTTGTTCCCCGCAGTTGCGGTCAAGCTGGTCTTGCGCTGGCGATCTGTTCCCCCCCCCGCTCCCTACCCGATAGACAGGGCTCATCTCTGACCCGCAGGCGCACACAAAAAGGATAGCGGTATGGGTACAGTGGAGGCCACTCCACAAGAAACCTTGCACAATAAACCCAACCCTGAGACCCCAGGACGTCCATTGCTTTGTGGTGTGGGATCGTCACGCTTCCCGTGGCAAAACCATCGAAACCCAAGAAACCCAGGGCACCCTGGAGGCAAGCAGGGTGTCGCTTGGCAGGGACCTCCACTGTACCCCTTCCTCCTCTGGGGGCCCTCTGGGTTGGCAGTCGACGACCACTGCCCGAAGCGCCGCGCCCCTTGGGCGTGGCTTAATGGGGGGGTCACAAATGGGGGGGGTCAAAAAAGGTCCCCTTTCGTGCCCCTTTCGGGCCCCTCCAGAGCCCCAAAGGCTCGTTTAGGTACCGTTTGGGTACCTTTTCGAACCACCCTCGCCACCCCCCCATTTATGACCCCCCCATTACGAAGCGCCGCGCCCCGCGGCCAGGCGCCTCTCCGGCTCCGGCGGCGCCACCGGCAGCTCCTGCGGCGGAGGCTCCGGCGCCGGCGGCTCGGGCGCCGCTGCGGGCGCGGGGGCCGCGGCGGGCAGGTCCTCCATCGAGCGGGGGGGCCCCGCGCGGGTCTTGGTTCGCCCACGAGCCCAGGAGGAGGAGGAGGAGGAGGAGGAGGAGGAGGAGGAGGAGGAGGAGCCGGCCCAGGGGCCCGGCCCTCGGGGCGGCGGCTGCAGATTCTTGCTTCGCCCACGAGCCCAGGCCCACCCTGGGCCTGGGATCGGTCAGGGCTGAACCTTCAACGGTGTTTCTCGTTGGCGCTTGGGTTTTTTCGTTCTGCCTCGTTCTGCCTGCGCTGCGCCTGGAATGCGAAGCATGACGAAACACAAAACGGCCCACGACACGGCCAGAACACCGTTTAGGTCCAGCCCTGGGATCGGTTACGCATGCCTTCTGCTGGCCGAGCCGGGGGGGGCGCGTGCACCGATGCTGGGCCCGGGATGAGCCTGGCCAAGGTCCGAGGGCAACCACTGCTGCGCCTCGCGCCCCGCGAAGCGCGATTGCGATTGTCCTCGCGCTTTCACGCCGCTCCCCCTCCTCCTCCTGCTCCTCCTCCTCCTGCTCCTGCTCCTGCTCCTGCTCCTCCTCCTCCTCCTCCTCCTCCTCCTCCTCCTCCTCTTCTGGAACAGGATGAGGGAGTCGCGACTCGCTCTGAAGTCGCCCAGGCCGCTAAGCGCGACTAACTTCGCACCTGCGTGGTGGCTCTACGTAAGAGATCCGAGGCTTCCCACAAAAAATGGAGCGGCGGGTTTTGTGGCTACACTCGGCTTCCAAGAAACCTCAACGGGCCCCGGGACCGTCCAACAACGACTCAAGATGACACACAATCCCTGCGGTTGGTGACAAAGGTTGGTGACACCGCGTCGTCGAGGCATTCGATACATCGGGTGGAGTCGATGTCTGCCGCAGAATCCGCGCTCGGTGGCACGCGAACCCGCCGCGTGAATAGACGATCCACGTTTCACCCACAGTCCACACTTCTCCTCCTCCTTCTGTTCCTTCCCCTTCTCTTCTTCCTCCTTCTCCTCGTCTGCCTCCTCCCTCTCCTGATTCTTCCTCTTCCTCCCCCAGCGGCTGCGAGAACACATATGCAAACAAGCTTGGCCAAACTGTGCTCCTCGTCATAAGCATCTTGGGAACCTCATGGGGTTTCCTTCAGGGGAACTCTTCGGGGCGTCTGGCCCCAACATTCCCGAACGCCTCCCGCTGTCGCCTTCATCATGGGGGTGATCTTCCAGGGTCGGTGGCTCAAACCGTAAGACCTTCACAATCCGCCACCGTGCAGCTGGGCACGGAATGGGCGTGTCCGCAGGTCCTTTGCCCAATGCCCTGAGCCTCAGGTCCTCAGTCCTGAGTGCTTTGAGGGAACGGACCCCCATGTCCGAAATCTCGTGCAGCGTGGCGCGTGCCCCCTGAGCTTTGAGAATTGGTGACGCGTAACTTTTCCAGGGCCAAGAGGGTCCCAAGACGGGCAAAGAGGGCTCCAAGCGGCCTTCAAGACAGCCCAGGAGGGCCCCGAGACACCCCCAAAGATCGGCCCAAGATCCAAAAATTGCCCCCAGAGGGCCCAACACGCCTCCACGACGCCGAAAGAGGCCTCCGAGAGGTCTCCCAAGAGGGTTTTTGAAGGATGCTGGCGTTCTCGCCTTTTCGGCTCGCCGACGCTCCCAGACGGCCCTAGCGGCCCCCAAGATCGCCCCAAGACGGCCCACGAGGGCCACAAGACGGCCCAAGAGGCACCCAAAACAGGCCAAGAGGGGCCCAAGATAGGGAACACGAACCGAAAATCCGAGCATTCCGCCCCAAGAGGCCCCCAAAGACCCCAAGAGGCGCCCAGGAGGCCCTAACAGGCCCCCAAGAAGCCCCCAAGAGGCCCCGAGAGGCCCCCAAGAGGCCCCAAAAGAGCCCCCCAAACGGCCCCAAAGAGGCGTCCAAATTGCCTCCAAGAAGCTCCGAGAGGCCCCCCACGAGATCCCAACGAACATCCGAGATGCGTCATACCCACAACGCAGACACTGTGGCGGAATTGGCCGAAAGCCATTCGATAGACGATCCACGTTGCACCCACACTCATGCTCACGCCCCAACCCCACCAGGGTCCACGTGGGGGCATGGATGGGAATCTTGCCTTTGGAGGCCAAAATGTTCCGTGCCCTACACCGGTCGCCGTCCAGTGGTGAAGGCGGCAGTAGGGGTATGGATAAAGCTTTGATCGACGCGTGAAGCGAGGAATTGATTGACTCAAGGAGTGGGCAACAAGGACAGGACGAAGGAGATAAGATTCCAGGAGAGGCCCTCGGCGAGGGGCCTATGGCCGAAGGCCTCTCTGAGCCGAGTCCCTTCCAGAAATCCCACCAGCCCTCTGGGCGTCGGTGGTTTAGAGAGTTTCCTCTTCCACCCCTCCTTCTTCCCCTTCGGGGAGGGGTTTATCCCTCCCCCTCCCCCCTCCCCATGGACGTGGACAGGGGGTTCCGCGAGCGGAGCGTCCAAAATGGCCTCGGCGAGGAAGCACAAATCATTTGTTTTACTAGGGTTTTGGCTCCATTTTGGCCTCCTGGGGAGGGGCGTAAGTAAGGACCCCCCCTTCGTTGACCGATATCATCCAAGATGGTCCCAAGAGAGCCCCGAAAGCTTCCAAGAACGCCCCGACAAGGCCCCCAAAGGAGCCCAGATGGGCCCAAGAGGCGCCCAGGAGGCCCCAAAAGGCCCCATGATGACCCCAAGATAGCCCCAAAATGGCCCCAAGAGACCCCCAACAGACCCCAAATAGGACCCCAAGCGGGCTCCCCGAGGCACACAAGAGTCCTCAGGACCGCCAACAGACCCCCGAGACGTCCCAAGAGGTTTCAAAACACCCGCCCACGAGATATCCCAAGGGGCTCCGAGAGGCATTCAAGAGACCTCCATGAGACCCGGAGAGGCTTCACGAGGATCCTTGAAACCCCCCAGATCCCCCCCAGACGCTCCACGAGGTTTCCAAAACAACCCCCAAGAGACACCCTAAGAGGATCATATGTCCGCCCTGTTTCGTCCTCCTTCTCCTTGTCCTTTTTCTTCTTCTCCTCCTCATCTCCTCCTCATTTCCTCCTCATCTCATCCTCCTCCTCTTCCTCCTCCTCCTCCTCCTCCTCCTCCTCCTCCTCGTCTTCCCTCATATCCGTCGACTCATCATCCGAAAACCAGCACCATCAGCAACAACAACAGCAGCAGCAGCAGCAGCAGTACCGGCAGGAGCGAGAGCACCAGCAAAAACACTTGCAACCTTCGCCACAAAACATCTCCCCCTTCACCGTTGTTGCCCGCCCCGGTTCACTATGTGAGTCTCTTCTTCCCTTCTCCCGTCAGTTTTCCTGGGCATCGTTTCTGGATGGGCTGGTGGGGATACTTTTGAGTCAGCGGCCGCAGGCGAGGGCGCCAGCGGTGAGTCCAGTCAGAGCGAGGCGCGCAAAGACGAATTAACCTAAAAGGGTGGGCCGAAGCCGCACGCGGCACCTCAGTGGCCAAGCCGGCGAGTGGGAAGGGGCGGACGGCAACTGCTGAAGAGCTGCACTGCCAGGGTGCACGCATGCAGCGCGCTGCAAGGAGGGGCTGGCTGCCAGGGTGGACGGCGGCCAGGAAGGTGGGGATACTTTTTAGTCAGCGGCCGCGGGCGAGCGCGCCGGCGGCGAGTCAGGTCAAAGCGGGCTACGCAGAGACTAATTAGACGGAGGCGGCGCGAAAAGGCTACAACTAACGCGGCAAGCCGGGGCCTCACGCGGCGGCCCAGGGGTGGGCGGTTGGCAGGAGAGACTGCAAGTGAGTCGAACTGCCAGCGTGCAAATATGCAAAGCGCCGAAGGCACCAGGAATTCGGGATATAAGCTGGTGGGGATACGCAAAGCGCCTAAAACCAAATGACAACTGCCATGATATATCTGGAGATTTCCTGACCTGGGTCAATCAACGCCCGGGCCTGTCAGGCGGTGCAGGATCCTGAAATGTCCTGCAGGATCCTGCGCTCTAGCCCGCGTCAGTGCACCCCTGGCCCTGCAGGATCCTGCAGGCTCCCCCTGCTGACCCCGAGGAGGGAGGAAGAGGGAGGAGGAGGGGGAAGGAGGAGGGGGAGGAGGAGGAGGAGGAGGAGGAGGAGAGGAGGAGGAGGAGGAGGGAGGAAAAGGAGAAGAGAGGAGGAGGAGAGAGAGGAGGAGGAGGAGGAGGAGGAGGAGGAGGGTGGTGATGATGATGATAACGAGGAGGAGAAAGGAGAAGGAGGAGGAGGAGAGGGAGAAGGAGGAGGAGGAGGAGGAGGACGAGGAGGAGGAGGGGGAGGGGCGAGGGAGGAGGAGGAGGAGGAGGAGGAGGAGGAGGAGGAAGAGGAAGGAGAGGAGGAGAAGGAAGAGGAGTGGGAATGGGCGGAATGGGCGGGATGAGCACGCAAGTGCAAGTAAGGAAAAGGTGGAGCGCCAGAGGGAGGGACACGAGCCTCCTTGGCAGCCCCCCTTTACACGGCGAGGCGACGGTTGTGCGAGGGATCACCGATGCTGACCAGAAGGGCCTCCCGCCCGCCCATTTTCTCAGCCAGGACAGCCATACCACCTTTAGGACGCCCCGAAGAGCAGCGGTGGCGGCAGCCCCTACACCAACATTGCCCTCGCCCGTCTCGCCGTGCATTGCGCCTGTCACCAGCGCCTGCGGGAACTGCACGTCCGTGAACTTCTCGGCGGCCAAATCGTCGCCCGTCGCCTCCTGCACCGCGACGGGAACGCCAGATACAGCACCCACCGCCGACTCCACACGTCGTGCACCTGGGTAGCCACACGCCACAGCCGCTCCAGCGCACCGCAACGGCCCAGGATGAGCCAAACGCCGCCCAGCCTCCTCGAAATCCACGTCCACGCTCAAGCAACTCTCTGCAACGGCAGCAGCACTGAAGGGCTCCACCTCCGAAGGAAGCACCGTCGGCGGGCCCGCGACGACCTCCTCCGCATCCGAACCGCCCACGGTGCCGAACCCGAAGGCCTCCGCAAAGAGCTGCACGGCCTGGCGGTCCCAGACACCTGGCGGCCGCATCGGCCAGAAGGGGGCTGCATCACGACGGAGCCCTCCAGGAGCAGGGGCGCCAGCCGCCGCCCGCTGGCGCGCGCACTTGAGGCCGAGCCGCGGCCCCTTTTGCGCGCCCCTCAGCGTGCACGCACCCGCTGAGGCGATGTCGGGTACGCCATCCGCCTCGGCATGGAGCGCGACGTTGCGCCGCAGGGTCATCAGCCAGTCGGGCGCCTCACCGCGGCAAAGCGCCCGCAGCGCAGGGAGGAGAGCCCTTACACGCCCAGAGGAGGGAGGAGGAGGAGGAGGAGGACCTGTACGCAGGCGAGCACGTCCAGCGCACGATCCCCGCCGTCCTGCTGCACCGCCTCCAAACTCGTGGGCGGGAGCCATGTCCAGCTCCACGGCCTCGCGCCTTGGGCTCCTCGACCGCGGCCTCGTGGATTCAGGGCGGGCTCTGCGCGGCCGCCCCCCAGCGGAACGCGCCCACGGGATCGCGCGTCCACGGGATCGGGCCTCGGCCGACGCATCGGCGATGCATCGGCGACGTCGGCGACGCATCGGCGACGTCGGCGTGGAGAGCATCGGGCTGCGCATCGAGTCGCACCGCCCATGGATTGGCGACGCGGCACTCTACTCCGACCCCCAACGTAGGAGGCGTGGAGTCTTTCGACCCAGGGCAACCCGTGCTCCATGCTCCCCAGCGCGGCCCGTGGTGGAGGGGACGAAAGCAAGGACCACGACCATTACTGAACGCGGAGACGTCGTGTCGATCTTGGTCAGCGTCCATTCACGGATAGTCCTCGCGAATCGGCGACGGCTGACAGGGGCCATGACCAAGGTCGGCATCGACAGGATTAGGGGAACGAAGAATGACATAAACATAAGAACTCGGAGGTCCTCGCGGATTTCTTGGATGCGCGCTGGACCCTCCTCCTCGGCGCGCGGAGCGCGCCAGGGGCGGCGCCGGAGGCGCCGTCAGGGGGCCCCAGCGCCAATCCGAGAAACCCGCGCGGACCTCCGAATTGTTATGTTTTTGTCATTGCTCCTTCCCCCAAGGATGCCACGACACCTCGGTCATGGCCCCCATGCCGCATGCCTTTTCCCTCGACGTGGTCCTCCTCCTCCTCCTCCTCCTCCTCCTCCTCCTCCTCCTCCTCCTCCTCCTCCTCCTCCTCCCCCTCCTCCTCCTCCTCCTCCTCCTCCTCCCTCCTCCCTCCTCCTCCTCCTCCTCCTCCTCCTCCTCCCTCCTCCTCCTCCTCCTCCTCCTCCTCCTTCCTCCTCCTCCTCCTCTCCCCCCTCCTCCTCCTCCTCCTCCCCCTCCTTCTCCTCCTCCTCATCCTCCTCCTCCGCCGCCTCCTCCTCCTCCTCCGTGCCCCCGACGTGGTCCTCCTCCTCCTCCGCGGCGCCCTGCAGCCGCGCCGCGAAGCGCTCGTTCGGCCGCAGCTTGCGGCGCTTGGCGGCGCTCTCCGCCCCGGCGGCCTGCGTGCCGCCAGCACCGCGGGCCTCTCCGAGCGGGGTGCGGGCCCCCTCACTCGTCGTCGTCGTCGTCGTCCTCCTCCTCCTCCTCCTCCTTCTCTTCCTCCTCGTCCTCCTCCATGTCCCCTCCTTGTCCCCTCCTCCTCCTCCTCCTCCTCCTCCTCCTCCTCCTCCTCCTCCCCTCCTCCTTCTCTTCCTCCTCGTCCTCCTCCTTGTCCCCTCCTTGTCCCCTCCTCTTCCTCCTCCTCCTCCTCCTTCTCCTCCTCCTCCTCCTCCTCCCCCTCCTCCATTTCATTTCCTTATCACAAACTTCTCCTTGTCGCACCCCGAGGCCAGTCGGAAGGGCGGGCCGGGCGTTTCGCCTGAGACTTCCTTACCACTTCTGAGCCTGAAGCTTTCTAAAAGTGGCAACAATTTTATAGATGGAGGGCGGGTCGCTTCCAACATGTAGCTTCCGCCTTAGCGCCGCGCACACTCGCTTGAAAACAATCTAAACAATGAGCGGATTGAGGGCGGCTGTTTTTCAACATGTAGCTCTCGCCTTAGCGCGGCGCACATTCGTTCCAACAAGTTGCAAACATTTTGCGGAATGAGGACAGGTCGTTTTCAAAATGTGGCTCTCGCCTGTGCCCCGGGCACACTCGTTTTCAACATTTGCAAGAGTTTACGGATTGAGAGCGGGTAGTTTTCAAAATGTGGGTCTCGCCTTAGCGCCGCGCACATTATCATTTTCAATTTCAAGGGATTCACGGATTGAAGGCGGGTGGTTTTCAAAATGTAGCTCTCGCGCACATTCGTCCTTTGAAACTCAAGAGTTCCACGGGTTGAGGGCGGGTGGTTTTCAAACTGTGGCTCTCGCCTTAGCGCCGCGCACATTTTCTGTTTACATTGCAAGGGTTTCGCGCATTCAGGACGGGTGGTTTTCAAAATGTAGCTCTCGCGCACATTCGTCCTTTCAAATTCAAGAGTCTCACGAGTTGAGGGCGGGTGGTTTTCAAAATGTGGCTCTCCCCTTAGCGCCGCGAGCATTCGTTCCTAAAAAATGCAACGTTTCGAGGACTGAAGGCGGTTCCTGTTCAACACGTGGCTCTCGCCGTAGCGCCGCGTACATTCGTTTTAAATGTTTGTAAGAGTTGGATTGATTCTCATGGCTAACGTGCAAGACATTGTATTTCCGAAGGATTCAGGATTGTCAGGGCGAAACATTTACGTTGATTCGCGGTGTTGAAGTCCCAGGAATGCAGGAATGGTGATCTGGCACGATTCGGGATCGTCAAAAAGAGCAACACTCAGGTGAACTCGTGGCGTTGAAATCCCAAGAATGGTGTTCTTGCGCGCTTCAGGATATTTACACGATTGTCCCCTAACGGGGCACTTCCTTCAGAGAATAAACCGGGACTTAGAGGGAGGGTGTATTCCAACACCGTTGATGAGTCTTGGGTTTGCAATGGTCGTCGTCGTCCTCCTCCTCCTCCTCCCTTCCACTCCTCTTCCGCCGCCTTTTCAAATAGCGCTGGGCTGGGAAGTCGTGCAGGTGGAGTCACGACTCGCGTGAAGCCCAGACTTGCTTTCGGGCCTCACCACGCTCCCCCCCGTCCAGACAAATATACTTGCCGAGCAACGCCCTCCATCCGGCCCCATCCTCCATCCTCCCCTTCTCCTCCGGTCTGCCCATGGCCTTTTCTCCCTCCCATATTTTTCCCCCGAATCACCTTCTCCGCCCCGCCCCCCATGCATCCCCCTTCAATTCCGCGCAGTTGCTCAATACGAATATTGCGCTCCTCTCTCCTTGGTTTCTGTCCGAGCGGGGCAAAATTGCTCCCGCACACTGTTTGACAACACATATGGCAACACCACCTGCGCTCGCTTGTTATCGACGTGGTTGTGTTCAAACACGGAGCGTTTTCGGTGTTTCAAATGATGTTCCCGCTGCAACGTTGGCCACACGATGGCATGGCGACCTGACGTGGTGGCTTACGCGGGCCGCCCGCGCGGCACGCTACATTGGAAATGAGGCCGCATACGCGCGACCTTGAGAGGGAAGCTTACGAATGAACGTCTGCTCAATCGAACCTTTTCTGCTGCGTCGCTCATTTTCGGATCGTCGCTTTGCTCCCGTTGGTGAGAATGGCGCTCCCGCACCAGCGCTGGCAACTCTTTGTGGATCCGAGCCCTTCGTCATTATTATCGCCCCCCTTCATTCCCCTCCTCCACCTTCCCCTGGTGCTGCTGCTGCTGCTGCTGATCGTCCTCGTCCTCGTCCTACCTCATGTTCCTCTTCCTCCTGCTCATGCTCCTGCTCATCGGCCACCTCCTCCTCCTCCTCCTCCTCCTCCTCGCGTCTCACTCCTCCTCCTCCTCCTTCTCCTTCTCCTCGTGGCACCAGAGCGGCATCTTCGTCTTAGAGACGCTCAACCGCTTCCTCCTTTGCGCATAACACGATCGGGTCTTTTTGGGGAGTTGCAGGTCCGCAATGACACGCGTAGGCGGGTGGAGGCAAATCACAGCAACGGGAACATATGGGTACGATGGTAGCATGTCAGACATTGCGCGAGACCATCTAGCTTGCCCTCCCCCTCTCCCTCCTCCTCCTCCGACTCCTCCTCCTCCTCGTCCTCCTCCTCCTCCTCGTCACTCAACACCACCTCCATCATCACAACCACCATTCCCATCGTCACCACCACCACGACCACCAGCATCACCATCACCATCATCTTTCCACCTCTTTCTCGTTGTCCCCACTGGCCACACGGCAGGCGCTCCCACTAGAGAAGAACAGTCAATCCCTTCCTTTCCAGCGTGGCCGCGCCCAGGGGCTGGAAGGCATATCTCGTACTCGCGTTTCTGCGATCCACCTTTTACTTTCTCCGGTCCCCTTTTTTATCTCTCTCTCTCTCCATTTTCGTTTTCTCTCTCACTCTCTCTTTCTCTCTCTCTCTCACCCTCTCTCTCGCTTCTTTCGTCTCCTCCTCCTCCTCTTCCTCCTCCTCCTTCGTCTCCTCCTCCTCTTGGCCTCGCCCCTACTCCCCCGCATCGCCATCAGGGGTCTGCTTAATCCTTCTCGTCCTTCTCCTCATTTTCCTTCGTCTCCTCCTCCACCTCCTCCTCTTCCTCCGCCCTCGTCTCCTCCTCCTCCTCCTCCTCCTCCTCCTCCTCTTCCCTCGTCTCCTCCTTTGCCTTTTTCGTGGCTTTCTGATTCTGAAGGAGTGCCAAAGGAGCCCAAGAAGCAGGAGGAGGAGAAGTTAAGGAATCACTTCATCCTCCTCATCCTCCAAACTTCGATCGTCCTCCCTGCACCCCTGCTGTGAAGGATCTCCTGTTGTGAGGGCGTCACACATCGACTCCCTTTGTGGAGGAATTACCAATGGATGCCACATCTTGGCGGTGGAATGCCAAACTACACAAGACAAGCAACACAAACAAGCAAAGACACAAACGACCCAGAATGGTCAAAAACACACATGACCGAAGGAACAACATGGAACATCACAAACAACAGTTCAACTTAGTCACTCCACCGTTCCACGCTCCGCCGTCCTCTCTCTTCTCGTTCCCCCCCCCTCCCCCCCGCCCCTCACCTTTTTCCCTCCCCGCCCCTCCTCCTAGGACTCCTCCTCCTCCTCCTCCTCCTCCTCCTCCTTCTCCCCCTCCTCCACCTCCTGCAAAACCCCGAGGAGGGTTCTGCGCGGGAGCTTGGCGACAATGATAACGATAGGTCACTTTTATACTCCCGAACGGCAAAGCAGGTCTATGCAGCTTCGACCGTTAAACACTTGAGCCAAAGGCAGCAGGGTTACTGTTCCTCCCCTGTCACACGCATGCTTGCATGTTAACACCCCCCTCGGACGCCAGTCCGCATTGGCTGACGGGGAGGTGCCTGTAAACTCAAAGACAGGTTAAATCAAGCGACAGGCTGCATGAACATCGTTACACCACCGAATTCGAAATATCTCGTAACGACGTTCACGAGCACCACGTCTCTCAGACATGCAACGTGAGCTCAAGTAAACGTTCAATCAGTTACGAGTTTAAACGTAGCATCCAAAGTTCACACGGCAGGCTAGCATTTATATGGTTTTGATTGCTTTCGCTTTTTATGCGCCAATACCTGCGGTAACTATAAAAGATGCACATGCAAATAGATTCAGCTCAATGGTCAACTGCAACGCTATTGTTAAGCCTGGTTGAGAGGGGAGATGAGAGCGAGCGTAAAAGAAAGACATGCCGGTCACCTGTCACCGTTTACGAGCGGCGCGGGCGCCTCACTGACGGAGCACGCGCGCCCCTGGACTTCGGTAAACCACGGTGCCCCACGCTGGCCGCCGTATAGGACGACACCCTGTTAAGGGCCTGCGTCGGGCTGTAATAGTCGGTGTCCAGGTACGCGTTAATGCGCTCCTCGTCGTCCAGCCAGCACCCCTCGTCAAAGCTCTTGGTGGACCCGTCAACAATGTTGTGGTAAGTACCGATGGCCCTCCAGTAACTGGCGTGGGGAGCCTTCAGCAGAGGTTTACCACCTGGATTGTTGCGGAGGTGCTCCTCGACCGCAACTCCGGTAAACGGGTTCACAGTCCAGGCCGGGTCGGCAAGCCAGTTGGGGAAGTCGTCGCACGGCAACCACCCAAACCAACAGAGCTTCTCGCGGTGGTCACTTTTACGCTCGGTGATGTGATCGGCAGGCCAGTTGTCACGGTAAAGTGCCCTCATGGACCCCTGATCGTTAAGAGCGACGTCCAGGATGGTCTGGTGCCAGTAAACCGGAGGCTTGTTGATGCTGCCCTTTAACTCCTCGGCGCTCCTGACCTCGAGATCCTCGATGAAGTAGTTGCGGTAATACACCTGGAGCCCGTTCATGTAACGGCAATAGAGCTTGGCAAGGTCGTGCGTCGCAAACCTGATCACGGTAACCCCAGTTGAGATGTAACCGTGCGGTCCGTAAGTGTCTTCCACCAGGTGCTTAACGGAGACCACGGTGGGGTTGCCGTGGGGCAACATCCCGGCCCACGTTAGCAGAAGGCCGTTAAGCT